ATTAAAATTAATTAAGTTTATTAAGTTTCATAAATTACGGATTGACCCCATTAACTTAGCTTAAGAACAATTAAATCCGATTGTGATGTTGCCACCATAATATCATTTACTTCGTACATGTGGCATGTATTAACATATACTTCGTGTAGTTCTTGACACATTTTTATACATGGGATGGTTTCCACCATATTAGTGTAAAATTCGTGTAGCTGGGAAACTTTTTTCCTATAATATTTAATCACAATTAATTAACAGAAGAAAAATAATAATTAAAAGAATTTCAATTAAATGAAGATGATAAACTAATTGTTATTTTAACTTTTACAGTTATTGTTTTAACTGTATCCACTAAAATTAATTTCTTTGTAATCAATACTATTAAATTTGGATCATGATCCATTGATATTAATTGAGTCCAACTACCTAATATCCACAACTTTAAGCTATATACATTTAATTGTAACTGCCACTTTACATCAACTATTTATTTAATGAGTTGTAACTGCCACTAAACCCAATGACCTATATATTTTGTACTCCCTCCGTTTTGAATTAATTGTCATTCTGGAGAAAAAAATTCGTTTCAAAGTAAGTGTCGTTTTAGAGTTTCGAGATAAAATTTATTGATTTTATATAATATTATATTTTTCTATTGGTTGAAAAGTGGTTAGGTGTATAGGTAACTGTGTTTTTTTCTTGAAAATATGCAAAATTAAATGTTTCCTTAATCTGTGTGCAAAAACATAGAATGACAATTAAAATGAAACGGATGGAGTAATATCATCAAAAGTTTTTTTTCAGTATTGAGTGGTCAATAGATTTTTATCATTATTGGGCAATGTAATGAAAACTCAATGGTCCATATAATTTTAATATAACACAATAAATCCAATAAATCTGTTACCAACCCCACTATGAATATTATATGAAATCAAACAAAATAAACTAAAATTTTTAGCTTAGGATTTAAAATTTAGAATTTTTGGACATTATTACTGATGCTTTATTTTTATATATTTATTACATTACAAAAATTATTCACTGATACTTGGAAAATTATTTATGTTTATCTTCAGTATATTAGTTGTTTTCATAGATTGAATACAGTTACAAGAAATTATCAATTTAAATAGGTATGGCCGTTCGGATCTATATGTGTTTCGGGTTTTCAGTCTAAAAGATTTCAGTCTAAAAGATTTCAGTCTCATTTTGTATTTATAGATTACGGTTTAGATTCGGTTCAGATTTTTGTGGGTTTGGTTATGTTCAATTATTCAGATACCTATAATATTTCAATTAAAATCGGTTTTTCTTCCGATTTTCTAAATACCAAAATTTTGAACATATACAGATATTAAACCAGTTTTATGTTCAAATTTGTTACTGTTTTTGATCAGATTTGTAAATATAAAAAAAAAAAAAAAAAGAATAATAAAATATACCTGTCCTTTTTAAAGGCGGGTTAAAATCGAGTTGATAATGTAAATTTCGTGTATGTACAAATACGAGAAGACCAATGGTCCGATTCGGAAGAAAAGGATTAGTATTTTTGAGAAGATATATATACGATAAGATGAGAGTTTAACAAATGGGTCTTTGAATATATATCATGCTTTTAAAAGACGCAGTAAGTCCCATACTACTTGGGCGAGCTAATCTTTCAATAGAAACGGTCTTAGACTTGGAAATAATCAATGAATTATCAACTTGATTCATTTGCAAAAAAATAAATAAATATCCAGTTGAATCTCGTACGATAAGGTTTTACATTATTTTAAACTAAAGCTGTTGCTGTAAGAAAGAGTTACGGTCAAATGAATATTTCGAAGACATATCTTTTCTGCTTCAAAATATTATCAAATTTATTTTCAACTTTCAGTAGTATCAAATTGACACGTCTCCTAACATCCATGATATATGGAGTATAATTAACACAAGTAGATCGTTGAATATTAACAGTTGCTGTTATCAATTGGTTAAAATACCATTTCTTTTAAGAATGAACCAGTTAAGAGCCTAAGACATACCAAAGTTTAAGCAAAAAAAAAGAGAGCCTAAGACACTACATAAATCAACTTGTCATTTGTTCTTTCTTAAATTTATACATATAGCAAATTTAATACGTTTTAGGAACCAGTGAATTGTGGCGGCGATCAAACTTAAATTGGGTCATGTGACCTTGCTTCTTGCGTTAAACAACAAATGAAAAACTCTCTAGGCTTACAATTTTGTATATAAGTTAGCAGGAGATTAGCGGATGTAATGTTGCTTCAACAAATCCCCATCTTTTGATCAAATCCACTTTGTGAAAAAAAAATCACAAAGCTACTTTTTTTGTTCATGATTAATTCTTCACTGATTCATTCAATTCTGGTTTTTTTTTGTAAACTCTAGGTTTTGTCCACGAATTTTAGAACAAAAACAAAAAAATTCGAATAGGAAAAAAGAATAAAAATGAGAGTTGCGGTGATCGGAGGTGGGATAAGTGGGTTGGGAAGTGCCTACGTTCTTGCAAAAGAACATGGAATCGAAGAGGTGGTGCTGTTCGAAAAGGAAGAGTCTTTAGGAGGTCATGCTAAAACGGTGCATTTTGAGGGTGTTGACTTCGACATTGGATTCATAGTCTTCAATAGTGTACGTACGCTTGCTAGCTCTTCCCTACTCCCTCTCTGGAATTGTTAAACGATATTATTTTAGCCACCCAAAGTTCTCTTAAGTATATATATACATAGAGTATTTGCATGGCAATGAAAAAAATAATATAGTATTTGAGTAAATAAAATAGCAGGTATTGAACAAAATGGAGGCGAATTCATTTTGGACGTTTTTACTCCTATGCTCAAAAAACAAGGACATATTCTTCTCATGTAATGAATTTCCATCATATAAACATGCTATCTATGATGCTAATACATTAACCTGTATTTAACATGCTTAAATAATTAAACATTTCCTGTGAAGTAAACATTGACTTGAAACCGGTCGAGTGGTATTTGGTAAGGGGACGTACTTGGGAGTTGGGACGCCAACACTCTACAAGTTCGATCTATTTGCTGAACGAAACTAAATCATATTTTTGGACACTCACATGGTCCATATGCCTGGATATGTCCGAGTTGATAAAAAAAAAGAAGAAGTTTTATGACTAGAATTTTGTTGGCATATCTTTGTTATTTGCTAATAGCAACTTAAGAAAATTGCCATTTAAGTAAATCAAAATTATCATACATAGGGGAATTGCATAGACCCAATGATTATATGATGTATATGTGTTGGCTAAATGCATAAAAATCTTGTAGCTTGATTGTGCTGTATAGGTTCTGCCAGAGCCGGCTCGATCTACGTTTTGATAGGTCGTGAGTAATAAACTAATTGTATATGTGAATAGGTTACGTATCCGAACATGATAGAGTTCTTCAAGAACCTAGGAGTAGACATGGAAATTGCAGACATGTCTTTCTCAGTGAGTTTTGACAATGGCCGAGGTTGCGAATGGGGATGCCGCGGCCTTTCCAGCTTGTTTGCTCAGAAGAGAAACATTCTCAATCCGCATTTTTGGAAAATGATCACAGAAATAAAGAAGTTTAAGGAAGACGTACTAAAATATTTAGAAGATCTGGAACATAACCTTGACATGGACCGAACCAAAACTCTAGGAGAGTTTCTCAAGTCTCATGGGTACTCTGACTTGTTTCAAAAGGCTTACTTGGTGAGTTATTATGTTTCTGCAAGTATCTTGGAATAAATTCCTAAACTATGGATTTTAAAATTTCATTAAAAGCTCAAGTTATGTTATTGGATAGGTACCGGTATGTAGTTTGATATGGTCATGTCCAGCAGACAGCGTCCTTAACTTTTCGGCTTACTCTGTTCTCTCTTTTTGTCGCAACCACCATTTGCTTCAGGTTGGTTAAATAAATAAATTAGTTAAAAAAGTGTTTAAACCAAAATTAAGTATTTTCTTAACTTCATTTATCATTTCTTTCTCAGATCTTTGGGAGGCCACAATGGCTGACTGTTTCTGGACGGTCTCAGACTTATGTGACAAAGGTTCTATTTCATGCTATAATTATGTGTATATATTATATACTTGGTTTTGTTACTTATATTACGTGCGGAACAGGTTAGGGCAGAATTGGAGAAACGAGGATGTAAGATTAGAACAAGTTGCAAAGTACAATCTGTTGCGACATCTGATGACGGTTGTGTAATAGTAACAACTGAAGAGGGATCTCAAGAAGTATATGATAAATGCATATTAGCTGTTCACGCACCAGATGCTTTGAAATTGCTTGGAGAGCAAGTTACATATGAGGAAACTAGGGTTCTTGGTGCTTTCCAGTATGCCTACAGGTAACCTTTAATACTCTTTTTAAGCTATATTGTAGAGAATGATGATTCATTAATAAGTATTGGTTTCATCGATATGTAGCGATCTTTATCTCCACCGTGACACTGATCTGATGCCACGGAACACTGATGCTTGGAGCGCTTGGAATTTTCTAGGAGGTTCTGAAAACAAAGCGAGCCTCACATATTGGCTCAATATAATTCAGGTAAATTAACAGGTTTGCCTAATTACTAGCACACGATAAAATGATATTGAAAGCGTGTTTCCTGTTTCAGAATCTTGGAGAGGAACGTGATCCATTCTTTCTCACCATCAATCCTGAGAATATACCGAAGGAAACATTGTTCAAATGGACCACTGGTCATCCCCTGCCCTCTGTATCCACTTGGAAAGCTTCTCAAGAGCTACACAAGATTCAAGGAAAGCGTGGTATATGGTTCTGTGGCGCATATCAAGGTAACGACTAGATATTGCATAGCTACTCAAATTCGTTTTAAGAAAAATTTACTTTGTATCTTCTCTTAGAAAATTCTTATGGAACTACACATACATAAAATGGTACTAGAAGTCACCGTTTTTGTTACTTTTCAATAAAAACTTGTCCCACATTATGTTTCGAACTTTTGTCCATCAAAACCTAACACCTTAATTTGGTACAACATTGGTCTATTTTAACTAAGCACTTAAATTTAATCAACTAGACGTACTATATTAGTACATTTTGTTCATGGGATACACAAGATCTTTCATTAAAATGATAAAATGACTAATCCTTCGTTTAATCCCTGTAAATATTCATTTATCGCTTGCAGGATATGGTTTCCATGAAGACGGACTAAAGGTATTTGATCAGTTCTATAATTAATACAGTTCAGTGTTCCTCTTTCATGATTTTTTTTTTGCAACTTAGGAAGTTTGCTAATAATATGTCAGGCTGGTATGGCGGCTGCACAAGGCTTGCTAGGGAAACATATGGTGAATCTTTTGAGCAACCCGAAACACATGGTCCCGTCTCTAACCGAGAAAGGGGCTAGGTTTTTCTTTACTAGGTTCTTGAGACATTTCATTTTTACCGGCTGTGTAACGTGAGTCCTCTCCTCTGTCTGGCATGCCTAGCTTCATATTTTTGTCATTAGTTTCTCCAGTGTTACATTTACTTATTCGTTGGGCCCCAATAGAATACTTGAAGAAGGAGGATCAGTGTACACTTTCGCCGGAAAGGATTCAAGATGCCACTTAAAATCTGTCTTAGTGATTCACAGTCCTCAGTTTTACTGGAAGGTTAACACAGATGCTAGAAAAGCTCTTTGAATATCTGAAACTTGTTTTCTCCAAAGCTCAAGAGTTTGATTCTTGATTTTTTTTTTGCCCACAGGTTATGACACAGGCGGATTTAGGTCTTGCTGATGCTTATATCAATGGAGATTTTTCTTTTGTTGATAAAGAAAGAGGACTTTTGGATCTGCTCATGGTATGGTAAAGAGACTTAATGAAGCATAAAGATTGAGTTAAAAAAAATCTTATGACATCTATAATAAACTTGCAGATTCTGATTGCTAACAAAGAATTAAACTCAAAAAACTCAAATCATGCTAAGCGAAGGTAAATAAAATTTAGTTTTTAGCTTAGCTGTTAAGTAGGCTTTCACTTGTTTACAAAAGTACTGCTTGGTCTCACAGGGGATGGTGGACACCAATGTTTTTAACTGCTAGTTTGGCATCTGTAAAGCATTTTCTAAAGCATGTATCCAGGCAGAACACATTAACTCAAGCTCGAAGGAACATTTCTCGTCACTATGACCTTGTAAGTTTTCTTATCCTCACAGTCACTCTGCCTCAAAGGATCATTCTCACGCTGAGTTTATGATTGGGTAATGATGCAGAGTAATGAGCTTTTTGCTTTGTTCTTAGATGATACCATGACTTATTCCTCCGCTGTATTCAAGGTGACACTATTTTTGTTTGCTTTATTAGTTACTATCTCATGATTCTAACTACAAACTTTTTCCATTTTCATGTAATAGTCGAATGATGAGGATCTAAAAACTGCACAAATGAGAAAAATATCTCTTCTGATTGATAAGGTAACATCTGTAGAATATCATTTCTTGATTTAGAACAAGAACCAGGATGTTCTTTAATGGCCAGAGGTGGGACATTTCAGGCAAGGATAGAGAAGAACCATGAGGTTTTAGAGATTGGATGCGGGTGGGGAACTTTGGCCATAGAAGTAGTGAGAAGAACTGGATGCAGATACACTGGAATCACACTATCTATTGAACAACTTAAATATGCAGAACAAAAAGTGAAAGAAGCTGGACTTGAGGTTTTGTCTTATCCATCTCTGGAGATTGTTTCTGATTTCCATCTCTCTGACTAACAATATAACTTCTAAAATAACCAGGATCGGATTAAGTTTGAGCTCTGCGATTATCGCCAACTATCTGCTGCTCAGAAATATGACAGGATTATATCTTGGTAACACATTTTTTTTCTTCTCTGATATATGTAACTTTGTAATCTCTGTTTTATAACATTGTTGGATACTTCAGTGAGATGCTAGAGGCTGTTGGACACGAGTTCATGGAGACATTTTTCAGTCACTGTGAAGCTGCACTTGCAGAAGACGGCATATTTGTGTTGCAGGTAGTATTTTCTTTTTTCACTCTCATGCTTTCAGAACTATTGATCGTTTTTATAATGTTTTTGACCATAAAAGTTCATATCAATACCGGAGGAGCGTTACGATGAGTACAGACTAAGTTCAGATTTTATTAAAGAATACATATTCCCTGGTGGATGCCTTCCTTCTTTAGCCAGAGTTACTTCAGCCATGGCATCTTCTTCTAGGCTATGGTAAAGTATTTTTTATTTTATTTTATCATATGTTCACTTTAAGCCTTCAAGTGAATTACTGTATATACTTTCTCTTCCTTTTGAACCATCTAATGCTGGAGAAATACAGCATTGAAAACGTGGAGAACATTGGGATTCATTACTACCAGACATTGAGATGCTGGAGGACAACTTTCTTGGAAAGACAGAAGTAATTAAGCTAAAACAAAATCAGCTGGTTTCTGTTATGGAATCATTATGTTTGCTCATATGTCCAACTTTTATCTTTGCAAGACAAATCATGGATCTTGGATTTGATGATAAGTTCATAAGGACATGGGAATATTATTTCGACTATTGTGCAGCTGGTTTCAAGACTCTTACCCTTGGAAACTACCAGGTAAGCTTTAACCATGCTTCTTTCCTCAGTTTCACTTAATAAAGACTTTATATGTATACTTGATCATGCCTATCAAAACATTACAGGTAGTGTTCTCACGTCCAGGGAATGTAGCTGCACTCGGGGATCCATTTCGTAGCTTCCCTTCTACTCAGAGTTAATCTACGGACACAGTAGATGAATTCTTTCAGACTTTTTAAGTACTCTTCTCATTTATTGTGCTGTTTCCAGTGAAAGATTCGAAGTTTGCGTGTGAAAGTACATATGTAAACTTTTAAAAATAAATGGTTATATGATTGATTATGCGGTTTTTACCAAAAACAAAATCTTGTACTTTCCAGACCATGTATGGATTCATTTCAGAGCCGGCCTTTGGCACAAACCAACGAAGTAGTGACTTCTGGCTGTAATATTATAAATACAATTTCGGCCACATTTGTCACAACTTTCTTTTGGTCTAGCTGAGATCATCACTCTTTTTGCCCAACCCAGATTCGAATCTCAAAAGGGAGACCAAGTTTTTTTTTAACTTGCTTCTTGCCTTAGATTTTTTGGGACCAATCAACAATGAATAAAGAGTGTACATCATCCAATTTTTTTCTTTTATGAAAATGCTAAATGGCTACTCTCTTAATTTTCCTCCTATTTTGCTCATCAATTTAAATACTTTAACTCTAAATACACAATTTCTTTGAGGAACTAATCTTTATGTGAGAGGTTCAGAAAACTAAAATTAACTAAAGTAAGCAAGAAATATATGATATTTGGTCTAGCGGATCACACAATATTAACTCTATTTTTAAAGGAAAAAGAGTCAAAATAACTTAGTCACTAAGTCCTTGTGTCACACACGATATTAATTCTATTTTTTATGGAAAAAATCATAAAATAGCTTAGTCACTAGTCCTATGTGTCACACTATTACATATATCTGGCTTTAGTCTTTATATATAACCAAAAAAATTATGCCAGTTCATTAGAAAAAAAGAAAAAAATTATACTATTTGAAAACTTTAGAAATAAATGGTGTTTGCTACTGCTCCCAACGGTTATTTAAAATGGGTCGGCTCTTTGTTGAGACCTGAAGAAACTGAAATCTATAGCAAAATAGATATAAATTAAAAATGTTTTATAATGATTCTGATGGTTTTAATTACACTACCATGATCTTGAAAGCTAACGTTTTTATTTATACTGCACTATGATGAAAATTTTATTTAACCAATTTAATTACTTTACATGACCTTGAAATTTTTTTTTTTGTACTCTGTGAAATTTCAAACTCATATCTCCAATTATAAAGTATCAGTGAATCATCATTAATCAAACTATTGAATAAGAGGGTTTTCGTTTTTACTTAGGCAAAGTCAGCCTTCGGCACAAGCCAAGGAAGCAGTGGCTTCTGGCTTTAATATTATAAATACAGTTTTGGCCACATTTCTTACAACTCACCTTTGGTCTAATGACTACGTATGAAGTCAACTGACCGTTTTTACCCAACCTAGCTTTGATCTCAGAAGGGAGGCCACTTTTTTTTGAAAATATTACATTGAGAGCAGTTATCAAGTTTCTATTAACACTATAAGACACATTAGACTACTCAAACACTTTTTTCTAACAGCTCACTTCTTTTCCTAAAAAACTAGTTACTTTTCTCTTCTTCCTTAACTATATCGTTGATTAAAGAAATCAAGCAAAGTTGTGTATTAGCGGGAACAAACCGGAGCCACACATTTCTCTCCCTTATCGACGCTTTAGATTAAAAATACCCACTTGGCAAGATTTATATCTATCTCTTTTCTTATCCATTGGATTTAATTTTTTACTATGAAATTTAATGGCCTAGATTACATGTTTTATCTTCATTATTTCTATCTTCATCAACTTTTTTTTTCCACGGCCACAAAAACAATCAAACCTTAATTTATCACTCAGTAATTCCAAGAGCATTAACCACCCTTAATCCATTTATCTGGCTTTCCAAATTCAGGTTTGTTGTATTTAAGTTATAATCTAAATAGCTTAGTACATAATACTGGAATTATTGTAATGATTTACATGTTTCCCGTCGAGGATTATTGCATGGTTATACCTGGCGAATGAAACTTCTACGATTTCCTGTGAAAATTTGCAACTGATGAGAATAACATGCCAAGGATTGTACCGGTTTTCTCCGCGATGTCTTTGGTTAACTTGAAGAACAATGTCACGTACTCTGACAATTCCATGCCTGTTTTTATGTACACTACCACTCTTCTTCATGTACATTATTATTTTCTAGTTTTCCACATTAGCCACTGTACAATGTACACATTCACTAATTCATCATGTACATTATTGCTCATTATAGTCATATATACATAACTAATAATGTCTCATCATTATATATGTTATGTGTACAATAAATCGTTTGTCCACATGGACACCAACCAATGAATATCCACATATACATAATTTTACCTCGGTTTACATCTACACCAATCATTGACATCTTCTTAAATGATCAGCAACATAGAAATCTATATTTATTCACAACTATGAAACATGTAGATTACAAATGTACACATGTTTGCCTATACACTGATTCTCAAACAACTGTTCACAGTTTCACATTTGTCTTTCTATCTTTTCATATTTGCAGTAGCAACATATACAAGTACACGTTTAGTCATTGATCATGTACATTATTGCTCATTTATAGTCATATTTACATAACTAATTATGCCTCACCATTATATAATGATTATTTTGTACACATGGACACCAAAAAAAAAAAATCCACATCTACATTATGAGATTTATGTGTACGCTAAGAATTATTGTCTTACCATTAAGTTATTTATGTGTACTTTGAGGTCTATTGTTCACACGGATACTATCCAAAGAAATATCTACATAAACACAGTTTTCCAAGGTTTACTTCTATACCCATACCTTTTTAACTATTTCTATAACTAATCATGTTTCACCATTATACAATGAATCCAAGGTTTAACATCTAACCAATCATCCCTCACCATTATATAATCTATGTGTCCACTAAGATCTATTGTCCACATGGACATCAGGCTATGAATATCCACATGTACATAATTATCTGATGTTCATATATTATTGTACAAGTTAATTAGTGTACATATAAATCATTATACATGTGGATAATGAAAATTTTATGTATAATGTATAGTGTACACAACATATGACTTTTAAAGTTATAGTTTCATTTCTTTTGTGCATTTTGTAAAACCTTAGTAATATGTTTGTGTTATTTTTACAAGTGATTTACTTTTCTTTTGCTTGAAAATATACATGTTACATCATTACATTAGAAAACTAGCATCAGTAGTTGATACTGAAGTATCCATCGATATTTTTATAACTAAACTAATGTTATATACATTTTTCAATATTTCCGAACAAAAAATTAAAACCAATCTTTGATTAATTAATTTATGCATATATCAAATACATGACTCGCATTTATCGATGTACATGAAAATTTTGGGCGTCCATAATTTTTGGTGTTCATGTGGACACTATATTATGAAAGAGTCGTATAAAGGATTCAAGTAAAGTTTTAAATTTTCATTTTATATATGTGATAAGTTGAGCAATATCTAAATGTACACATGTGACTTGTCTTCCTTTTTTTGAGAAACTATACTAAAAAATATTAAAATTATTATCATAAATTGAACAATGTACATATAAACTAGTGTACATATTTTTCGTAAATTGGTATTCTTTTAAGTTAGAAAGCCTACATTTTAATGTTTATGTACACAAAGATGGTGAAATTATATGGTGTTCATGTATTATTGTACAAGTTAATTAGTGTACATATGAATCACTATACATGTGGATAATGAAAAGTTTATATACACTGTATAGTGTACACAACATATGGCTTTTAAATTATAGTTTCATTTCTTTTGTGCATTTTGTTTGTATACTACCACTCATCCACGTCTACACTATCACGGTTTTTTCGATACATTGCCACTCATGAACTTCTACACGTTCATAGTTTTTGTTGTATACATCAGCTACTATCCACATGCATACGTTTAATATTGTTATGTACGCTACCACTCATCATATATGCATGCTTATACATATTACCATGCCAGACTCCTTTGCTACACATGGTAAGATAACCCTTAACCTATTATTCCCGTAACCACCATTCGTCAATAATTCACCTTTTTATAATGCACACAACCACACCAAGAACAAACTCCTTCTAATGTTAATGTACACATGAACACTGTCGCATTTTTAATGTACACTAGAACTCTCAAACTTGTACACGTTGGCTAGTTTTCGTTGTACACACAACCTTCTATCCACATGCATACGTTAAATATTTGTATGTACACTACCACTTAGCGTATTTGCATGTTAAAACTCTATTAACTACTAAGACATCTATTTGGTTGTTTTGTCATAACCTTTATACATGTACTGAATGTTTTGTCATAACCTTTATACATAAGCCGTAATATACTCTGAGAATTTCCACCTTTTAAGTATGTATCTTGTATCCACATGGACACATTGTGACACGATTCATTGTACACATTATTTATCATCCACATTTATGCGTTTAGTATTTTTTTTATTCACACTACCACTGCAACACTAAAA